GCCACTTTATCCAAAAAAATATCGATTGATGTTATCGACTTATTGTTTTTTTCGCAGTTCTCGCTCTAGATAGCTGAGAATTGGTACATTGGGGTAAGCTGATTGATAGCCACTTAAAAATTTATCGATTGAGTATGATTCATTGATTTTTTCCGCAGTTTTCGCTCTAGATATCTGAGAGTTGGTACACAAGTATAAGTTGACATGCTGATTTCAAAAATGATAACCACTTAGAGATTTATCGATTGGGTCTATTGATTTATTGATTTTTCACAGTTTCTGGTCAAAGGCCCTGGGGGTTGGTGTATTGGGGTAACTTGATATGCCAATTGCGAATCTGATATCCTCTTGAAAATTTATCGATCGATTCTATTGATTTATTGATATTCGCACTTTTTTTAAGTAGCTGAAAGTTGACGTGCTGGGGTGAATCGATATGCTGATTACGAATTATAACAACTTGAAGGTCTATCAAATTATTTCATCAATGTAACGGTTTTTCGCTTTGAACTACTAGCCGCTACCAATAAATGCGAAAATGTGCTACATGGTGAACAGTACGATGTTATTTTCTCTCAGCCTAGGTTTGCTAAGAGAGAACTTTCATGCTGAAAATCTTAAAAATTGAAATGTACTCCTTTCGAAAAAAATAAAATAAAACAAAGTACTATTAACTACTCTGAAACAGCCGAGCGTAGCCGGGTATGCAAGCTAGTAGAATATTAAAATTGTTCCATACAACAAGAAATTTGTGGCAATCGCGACAAGATTCAGGAATCTATAGATAAAAGAGCCATACCGCAGCGGCATTTGTGGATAATCCTCCCCCGTCGTAGGGCGTTTTGGTAGGCGCACCTTCTTAACGTCAGAACACCGCAACACTTCCACAAATATGCAATAGGGAGCCTCAATATTACATTCTTGATAGATTCAAAAGGAAGAATAGCTACACAGCCCACAAGCTCATCAAGAATCTCACCTTGTCTTTGCTATTGAGCACACAGCTGTTGGTAGGAGGAATGTTTAAAACGACATGACCTTCTGATAAAGGTATCCACACCCGAGCTGGCAGATGCATGTTCAACACAAGCAGCTCACTGACAAGGCGACGGGTCTGAAGACATAAATACATAGAGGGCATCACAAAATCTAGAATTTTGAACTTCTCTTCGCTGATCAAAAATTCATTAATAAATATACTTAGTTTTGATTTTGAGACATTGCGCTCAAAATACCATCTTGCAAGTTTACGACTTAAACAAGCAGACCCGTTGGTCCTGAAACTCCCTCCAAACTTTTGCTTCGAAAATATTAGAAGCCAAATTGTACGAAACCAACGGCTACTCCAAAAATGAGAATATTGTTTATTAATGCTAAGCCACCAAGTTTTCGTATTCAAATTTCCATCAAATGTAGCATTTAATTCGATACGATAACTGTACACTCGTTTGAACACTTATACCATGAGGCCGCCACACCACAAGAAAAAAAAATTAGTTATTAGACTTAGATTTTTGTAGCGGAATAAATATATCGCCCATATTTGTTGCAGTCAATATGATAATCTGCTGCTGGACCCGCAGATAGGGATGACGCTTCCGATATAAATTGTTAAGAAAAATTGAGGGAAAATGATCTTTGGGTATTTAGGCTGTAA